TATACTAACTGCAATGAAAAAATCTACAGCTAATCATGCATCGTCTTCTGGCCATTAACAAGGTCTCTATAAATAAAGTCTATTTATACTTGGCATGCGTGGAATGCATTACGTAAAAGGTGTGTTAATCTTTTCGTGACATTATTAATAGAGGTATGGAGCATGTGACTTCCAATAAAGGATACTGATAATTTGATTGGCATTGGCTAGGGTCACGTTTGTTTGGATTGAGAAATAAAACATATATCTCTTTCAATGAAAGTCATTCGTGCTATGTGTATAAATCATACACATAAATATATACACACATACATACATACATACATACATACATGTACATGTACATACATATTCCTAACCTGTTACAAGGGCTGCTCTTGATACTGCTGTCTCAGTGATACCCTCAGAGCTTGCAACACAGCGATACATACCAAAATTATCAAAATTAACGCTATTGAATCTCAAATCGGAGGAAGTCTCGTCTGTTATCTCCTCAAAATACCCACTAGTACGATTCATCTTCTCCCACTGGTATGTTGGCGATGGAAAAGCATCTGCTAAACACGATAGCATAAAATATTGACCTTGCGTTACTAATCGATCTTGTGGATGCAACGTTATGATAGGAGCCACATACAGCGTGGTCTCAACTGCAACAAAACCAGCTTCGTTGATGACGACACACGAGTAGTTACCACCATCTCTTGTAGCGTTGATATACTCAAGAGTAAGTTCAGTACCATTCTCTATAATAAGAGGACCAGCTAAATGAAGGAAACCATCAACATCTATTGGGATCATTGCTGCAAGGCTCATTAGTTCAGTCTCGTTGGCCATTGATCCGGTGGCATTAGAACGAGTCCAGATAAAAGTGTTGTTAGGGCCACCTCTAGCAGAGCAAGTGAATGTAACTGTACTACCATTTGTTGTTATGGTGAATGCTGGATCAATCTCAACACTACCACTAGGAGATACTGTAGAGGAGAAATAAAGAAAAGGTGACAGAGAGAAGAAATTGGTTGAGAGAAAGAGTGAGACGTGTAGGAAAAAGTAGAAATAGAAAATAAAGAAGAATTTCAAAACAAGACATGAGCAGTAAAATAAATAAACACAAAAGTAAGGAAAACAAAAGAATTTAAAACACTCACTCGTCAACACAGCCTCATTAGACCTCACTGTGTCCATTACAGCTGTAGCAATGCATCTGTACCTCCCATTGTCTTCATACACTACGCTATCAATCATCAAATAACTTTTATTTTCATTGGGTATCATGTAAAACTCATTCGAAGATATGTTGAACCTCTCCCAGTAATATTGAGGACTGGGAAAAGAATCGGCTAGACACTGAAACGTAACGCTTTGACCATTTTCAGTAAAAGTGCTCACAGGATCCGTAATTATCTCTAGCATCACTTGCAATATAACTGAAAAACTACCAACTCCTGCTTCATTAAGAGCCAGACAAGTATATGTACCACCATCACTTCCATTAACAAATGTCAATGATAGACTTGAATCATAATCTAATACAGGTAGTGAGTTAATTATGTATGAGACATTAAGTGGAGCGTCAAGACTGAAAGACGATGAATTAAAATTTCCTCTAATCCAGACTATCGTGTTATTGGGTCCACCTTGAGCATTGCAATTAAATGAAGCATTTTCATTTCTAGAGACTGCTTGAGTACTGGGGTTAGCTGATACACTGCCTTGTGGAGAGACTGTACAAGGAAAAGAAGAGCATAATATTATGAACACATTAGTTTTATTTATAAAATAGTAAAGGAAATTGTTTGTCTTGTAGAATGCACAATAACCACTTTTAACATTATCCAGCTAATCATGTAGGACTGTCATATTATAAGTAATAACAATAATAAACAGTATAATTAATATTATACATATAATAATAAAAAACTGTGTAGCATAGATAATAATAGTAATAATATCAAACAATGATGATGATGATTTTGATAATAGAGCATTACCTGTGATCAAAGCTGGACTGGAAGTGATCGTATTGTCAGTTCCATTAGCAGTCACTATACACTGGTAAGAACCAAAATCAGGATAGTCAACAAACGGTAATCTATAAGTAGTAGATACTTCCCCCATAAGTGTAGTAACATCATTAGAAGAAGATATCCTCT